AAAAAGGAGAAAAAAAAACCGGTACCGGAACCGGCACCGGCGGTGCCGGTAACGATTTTGGGGCACCGGAACCGAGACCGGATGTGGCGGTACCGGTGCCGGTTCTCGGAACCGTTTCGCCGTCCCGGTTGCCGTTACGGTGCTCGGTACCGGCGGTACCGTTTCCGGTGACGGTACCGAACCGGTACCGTGTCCAGCCCTACTTACAATCTATTAAAAAATCACTTTTTAGTCTTACTTTTTCTTACCCAACCTATTACTTCATATTTTTTGACTAATAATCTATCCATCACATCTATCTTTTACCCATCACATCAAAAGCAAAATTTAAAAGTCAACCACAAATATATATACCTTTTATTTTAGCCTAAAGTTGAAATAAGAATGGTCTTGAAAAACGAAGAGAGTAGATGTTTTAAAAAAGTGAGGACTCTAAGGCGATTTAGAATGGGGATTGAATAAGTGCCCCACCGCACGCTTCCCTAAGGCTTGTCGCGCCGCACTCCCAGTGTGAAAGAAGAGCCGCGTTTTACACCATAGTGCACGCTCCAGTTCTCCGATGCAAAATCACGGCGGCTGTCAATTCAATTTCATCTCACTCAAATAACTTTCTTTCCATTTTCTAATTATTCAAAATGAAAATGAAGTCTAAGGACAACACCTTCAACTTTGATAATTCCGAGCTCAATGTCGTCATTCGATTTGTAAACTCTGTTCTTTACTCAGCGACGAGCTTACCCCGTTCTCGGGTTCCAACAAAGCCCCTACCATTTGTTGGTCGTTAATACAACCGATTACGACATTTCTGAGTTGGAGCCCATTAGCGAAGGCGTTATCAAAGGGAATGCCAAAAAGACGGACATGCTGAAGAAGTATACTCCGGCGTTAATTCTGTGATTGGCGAAGTACTACGTCGATGTGTCACAGGACGCCATCATCGGCAACTACCAGAAATAACAAATATTCTGGGAGCGTGTTGAGGCAAAGTACAATGCCGGGAGGCCCGATAGTTTGCTCGTACGTGATGGGGAGATGCTTCGGAAACACTAGAGCCGAAGACATGGTTGTAAGTCCAGAAGTTCGGTGGCTTATATGCCAACGTCCTCAAGACATGGTTGTGGGTCCTACGCCGAAGACTTTATGTCGAAGGCATTGAACCTTTATTATGAATCGTAGAAGAGGGTATTCAAGTTCCAAGAAATTTGGAAAATTCTACAAAAGAGCCCCAAATTTAGCTTTAGGGTTGAGGCCGGAGGATCGGGACCGAAGCGATTCAAACTCTCCAAGACTGGTTCGTACTCGACGAGCGGGGGCGGACATGCATTCCATCGACCTCAATGCCACGAGGGATGACTTTTCCCATGGATCGGGCGACGAACCTAGTTGTCAAAGCCACCCGATCGGGTCAAAGGCGGCAAAGAAGGGGAAGGCCAAGACAACGGCTCCTAGCATAACACCCCACCCGAAAACCCTGCTTTGGACATAATGAATAAAAACCTTCCTAGCATGAGCTTCGTTGTTCATTGCACCAACCTCAGCAAACTCATGACAATGGATACGTCGAGAATGTCGGAGATGGGCAATAGTATTTGTTTTTTAAGTCTTTATTTTTCAAGCACTTCTTTTATTTTTCAGTTTTGTAATTTTAATTTTAAGCATGTTAAATTTCTTCTTTTATTTATGTAGTATTTCGTAATTTGATATTGTATTCCCTTTTTTAATTGTTACAATCCTTTTTTAATTTTCTAAAACTATTCCTCTTTTTTTGCTTAAAATAAAATTTTGTATAAAATTCATTTAAGTTTTTAATTAAAAATGATGAATAATGTAAAAGAAACCGAGAGACAATTTTGAGGATGGTAACATTACAAAATTTTGGGACCGAAAGACAATGGAATAATTAATGATATAGCAGGAATTGTAAATCCTCTAAACTCAAATCACCTACCGAATTCGCCTAGGCGCAGATACGGTTGTGGATCCATATAAGAAATCACGAGACAAATGGATGGCAGCAAGTGCAAGCTGTATTGTACTTGGCAAAGATTGATACAGGTCAATCCACTACACCAAACCTGTTTTATACGGCATGCCTCGTCTTCGTCTCCTGTCATATCTCTTCATATCTTTTCCCAAGCTAATAACACATAATGAATTAATGTCTTACCTCCGCTAGGATAAACTTCTTTTAAGAATACAATCTTCGAGACTGGACTTCCTAACATTCAAGCCACTGAAAGAAATTTATTCACTTTTTTTATTCGTCTCAGAGTATTTAAACGTTACTCGGTACAATCTTCCAACATATATACTCTTTCTGTTCTAAAAATATTGCCTCATTTCGATCGAGCAACCTGTAAATGACGTATTGTAAATTTAAAACAAAATGCGGCAAATCTTTTATCATCAAATAATAGTCATTAAAATACACCAATAATAAACAAAAGCTATGAGAAGATTAGAACGATAATTGAGACGATATTTTTGGAATGGAGTGAGTAAAAATTAGTATGTTACTTAAAATATTTCATATTTCTAAATAAAGTTCAATTACCCGCTTTTTAACATTGTTTTTTGGAAAGCGCTTTTTAACACTTAAATAAGGATTTTTTTTGGGAATAAATAGAGATTATTAATATACTCCCTCCGTCCCATGAAACATGAGATGTTTTGTTTTTTGAAGAGATTTAAGGGAGTGTATTTTGGTATTGAATTTTCAAAAATGTCCTTTGATGTGATGAGTAAAAGTAGGATTTCATGGCTAGATTATTAGTAAACATGTATGATGTGATAGGTAGGGTATGAAAAAATAAGGGGTAAAAGTGACTTTTTAATAGAAATGAGAAGTGTTTTTGTGGAACAGATGAAAAAAGAAAGGAGAAAGGTTTCATGGGAGGGAGTGAGTAGTAGAAAAGGAGAGAATGACCTCAAACAAAAACAAAGAGCAAAAAAGAAGAAAGAAACGAGCAGAACTTCACCACTAGTTAATGCGTATTCCACGTAATAATAACACGTTTGGCTAAAGCTTCCTTTTGTTCCTTCCATTATTGGAGCAATTTAAGCGTTGTTCGTTGTAGTTACTATTGTTGGTGGAGTTGTTATTACTCCATATTATGACTATTATTATGATTACTATGATTATTATTATTTACTATTATTATTATCATTATTAAAATCAACTCAATTAAATACTAAAGTTTGTAGTACGTACGTTGTAAAATAGAAAAAGTTTTACTCCCTCCGTCCCTAAATATTTGCAACGTTTGCTTTTTCAGCGTTGCGGGAACTTTTGTTTATTTCTACGTTTTCATTGATTATTTGATAAAATAAAATATTCTCGACACCTCTTATTTCGAAGAACTTTTCATGTAGTTTTTTGATATGTAAATTTTATTTTTTATTTCTATACCAATATGTAAATAAAATGAATTGAAAAAACTTGATATTTTACCTCGGGAATACAAGTGTGACAAATATTTAGGGACAGAGGGAGTATAATCTAACAAGTCATTCACATGTAGACGAGATTTGTGTTTGCTCGATCAAGGCTTGCACGCGAACATTAATTTTTGAGTAAATTTCATAAATGGTCCTTAATTACATGTGTTTTTCCATATTTACTCCCCAATCTCAAGATATTACATGAATGATCCTCAATTTCTTAAAACTATTACATTGTCGGTATTTCACGAACTATATGTGAAAAAAGTATTTTGACATATTTGGCCTAAAAGACTTTTTATGGAATAATTTTCAAAATTTGAGGATTATTTATGTAATATCTTAAAACTGGGGACTAAATATGAAAAATCACTATAACTAGGGACCATTTATAAAACTTAACTCTTAATTTTTAAAAATTAAGTGATGAGAGGTTTGAACTTGTGACTTCGTGGTGAGCAACGCTCTAATGGAATGTATCTTTGTCAGTTATGATACCACGTTTAGAAAATATAATTGCTTGAGCCCAAAGCAATATATATATATATATATATATATATATATATATATATATATATATATATATATATATATATATATATATATATATATATATATATATATATATATATATATATATATATATATATATATATATATATATATATATATATATATATATATATATATATATATAGGATTGACTCCAGTGAGATGACACCTTACGGTGCGATGACATGCTTCGGTCAGATGACGCAAAGCTCACCACACTACACTACAAAGCTCATCAATGGACAATGCAAAGCTCACCTGGAAATAAAGCAAAGCTCACCACTTTGAACCCCAAAACTCACCTTTTTTTAATTTTGAAAATTAAAAAATTAATTAAAAATAAAATAGCAACACCGGTCAACCACCGGTCAACGGCAGCCGCAGGCGGCGGAGCAGCAGCGGTGACCGAAGACTGGCGGCGGCGGAGGCCGGCGACCGGCAACCGGCGACTGGCGGCGGCAGGCGGCGGTCAATGCTGGAGTCAACGGTCAAAGTCTAGTCAGCATCCCTTCCTTTGATTTTATTTTTTCAAAAAAAATTCAAAGTGTTGCAAAAAATATGGTGAGCTTTGCCTTACAGTTTGGTGAGCTTTGTAGTTGTGCTTGGTGAGCTTTGCAGTGGGCAGTGGGTACGTATATCCTTATACCCGACCCGGATGACCGAAAGGGACAAGTCAAAATATGACCGGCCAGTTTTATCAATCACCAAATGAGGTTAACTCTTCGATTGGGACGGGTCAAAGGTTGACCGGTCACTTTCCTCAAAAAGTGACCAGTCACATTTTGGGCGATAGTCAAAAATGTCACCTAATGATACGAAGGATATTCCAGAGGACCAAAGAGACGGGTTGAACTCAAAAGATGACCGGGAAGCCTTTGAGGAAAGGTGACCGGTCATGTAACTTGACTTGGCTAACATTGGTCCAGTCTCTTAGGCATGGCGAACCATGTCAAAGGTCAAGGAAACACCCCGTCGCTCATCTATCACGAGGCACACAGTGAAAGGGATGTTTGTCATCTTGCAGGGTTGATTGGATTGAGAATATCCATGTTATAGTCATTGATTGAACATTGTTTCTTGGTTGTATTAGTAGATACTCTATGATTGTACAGTGCTTCAATTAACTACAGTGACCTTCCCACGGGCTTTCTATTTTGTCCATGGATGAACAGGGGAAGGTCACAAATCCTCCTCTATAAATATGATGATTGTGGATAGAGGAGGGGATCCAATTTTTCTCTCACTAAAGTTCACTCTTGAGATAGAGTAAGAAATATAATTCGGACTGAGGAGATTTACCCGGTCTAGGTCATACTTTTTGTTCTTGTTGTGTGTATTTTATTGATGGGTCGAGTTTGTCCAGGTCAAACCTGGTTATCCCACCCATCTATATTTACACCATCATTTTTGGCGCCCACCGTGGGGCCGATTGTTAAAGTTTTTTCGACCAGGTCAAAACTTTATCCCCACGAAATATCCACTATCATGTCTTCAAGCAACCACACAGTCGTTCCGAGCCATGCTGCAAGTGAAAGCACTCCTGCCATCCCACTGGTGATGGCGAGCATGGGGTCGACTTTTGCCCCGATCACCACCATGGGATCGCTTGGGATGATCCCGATCATGTCGACCCCAACTCCAGTGCCAACAACGACAATGTTTCCAGGCTAGATAACAACGCCTGGTGGAGCATTCACGCCATACCCATCTAGTTTGGCTCAATTTGCTGCGGACTCAGCAAATGCTCAAGCTCTGCAGGGCTATCAACAAGTAATGGCCATGATGCAACAGGCAGGGGGCTTCATGCCATTTGCCTATCCTGGCATGATGCCACCGATCGTGAGTCCTATGGCACCCCCGGTTTCGACCCCATCGACATTTGTCCCTAGGATGGTCCCTATACGTCCGGTGAATTTGACGGGGACCATGAACGAAGCAGCACCTTCAAATGTCCATGAGGTCGACGAGGCGGAACAAGAGGCGGCCCGCAGAAGAAAGGGTAAGGCTATAGCCAAGCCCAGCAAAACTCGGGATTCGGCGTTCAAACGCCTAGGGGACAAGGAGGATGGACCCCGCAAGTCTTCCAAGCTACGTTTTGGTCCTGAGATGGGCCGGACTAGCGCAATGGAAAGACTTGGCGGGAATCGTCCTGCCCAATCACGTCGTTCTAGGGAATCTAAGACGATTCACCTAGACGAGGAGGAAGCAGAAAGCCAGCCCAGAGCATCTGTAACACCCTAATCTGTCCAGGTCTACAGCCCCATTCGGACTAAAGTATTTAACTTGGTAATCGTAAAATTTAAAACTTTTCAAACACACTTTATTAATCTCAATAATATTTTTCATAACATATGCAGTACGGAGTATTTAACAATATTGCGGAAGCGAATTTAATATTGACATATCATAAATCATTTCAAAACTTGTCACATCCATCGTGACAATCTCGCCCCATCTGTCGCCAGGATCACATTAATCTTTCTGTTTACCTGCGTGTAGCAAATAAAACATACTACACGCTCAGCGATGAAGCTGAGTAAGCATATCTAAAGCGTCGAACATCCAAATAAATTGAATCTCAATTCATAATCAACCATTTGATATCATGCACACAATATATGATTCAAACATTCATGATCTTCTCAATATTTTATTCCAAGT